CTAAGCCACCAAGGCACCCCAAATAAAATTATTTTTTTTTTAAAAAGTGGTGAGTGCGGACATCCTTGTCTTGTTCCTAATCTTATGGGAAAAGTTCTCGGTTTTTCCCCATTAAGGATGATGTTAGCTGTGGGTTTTTCATATATGGCCTTTATTATGTTGAGGTATGTTCCCTCTAAAGCTACGTTGCTGAGGGTTTTTTAATCATAAATAGATGTAGTACTTTGACAAGAGATTTTCAGCATCTATTGCAATGATTATATAGTTCTTATCCTTTCTCTTATTGATATGATGTATCACAGTGATTGATTTGGGAATATCGAACCACCTTTGCAATCCAGGAGTATATCCTACTTGTTCATGGTGAATGATTTCTTTTTAATGTATTGTTGAATTTGGTTTGCTAGTGTTTTGTTGAGAATTTTTGCATCTATGTCCATCAGGGATATTGGCCTGTAGTTCTCTTTTTTAGTGGTATCTTTATCTGGTTTTTTTTGTTTGTTTGTTTGTTTCAGGGTATTGCTGGCCTTATAGAATGAATTTGGAAGTTTTCCTTCCTGTTCTATTTTTTTGGAATAGTTTGAGAAGAATAGGTATTAAGTCTTCTTGAAGTGTTTGGTAGAATTTGCCTGTGAAGCCACCTGGTCCTGCTTTTCCTTGTTGGGAATTTTTGATTTCTGATTCACTTTTTATGCTGGTTATTGATCTGTTTTCTATTTCTTCCTGCTTCAGTTTTTGTAGTTTATATGTTTCTAGGAATTTATCCATTTCTCCCAGGTTGTCCAGTTTATTAGCATATAGTTTTCATAATACGCCCTTAAAATCATTTGTATTTTTGTGGTATTGGTTGTTATTTCTCCTCTCTCACTTGTGATTTTATTTATTTGAGTCCTTTCTCTTTTTTTCTTGATAAAGTTGGGTAGAGGTTTATCAATTTTATTGTCATTTTCAAAAAGCCAGGTCCTGGTTTCATCAATTTGTTCTTTTGGGGTTTTTTGTTGTTGTTTTAGTTTCTGTATCATTTATTTCTGCTCTAATCTTTATTATTTCCTTCCTTCTGCTGATTTTAGGTTTTGTTTCTTGTTCTTTTTCTAGCTCCTTTCAGTGTAAGAATGTTTGAGATTTTTCTTGCTTCTTGAGGGATGCCTATATGGCTATAAATTTCCCTCTTAGAACTGCTTCTGCTGCATCCCAAAGGTTTTAGACTGTTGTGTTTTCATTTTCATTTGTTTCCATATTTTTTTATTTCTTCTTTTATGTTCTGATTGACCCATTCATTTTGTAGTAGCACGTTATTTAACCTCCATGTATTTGTGGCCCTTCCAGGTTTTTTCTTGTGTTTGACTTCTAATTTCATAGTGTTGTGGTCAGGTCATGCATGGTATGACTTTGATCTTCTTGAATTTGTTGAGGCTTGTTTTGTGGGCCAATATATGATCTATTCTGGAGATTGTTCCTGGTGCACTTAAAAAGAATGTGTATTCTGCTGTTTTAGGATGGAATATTCTGAATATATCTGTTAATCCATCTGTTCCAGTGTGTCATTCAAAGCCATTTTTCCCTGTTGATTTTCTGTTTAGATAACCTGTCCATTGATGCAAGTGGGGTGTTAAAGTCCCCTACTATTATTGTATTATTATAGATTAGTTCCTTTATGTTTGTTATTAACAGTTTTATGTATTTGGGTGCTCCTATGTTGGGTGTGTGTTTATTATTATATGTTACAGTCTTTGTTTTAAAGACTTGGTTTTAAAGTCCATTTTGTCAGAGGTAAGTATTAGCTAGTCCAGCTTTCTTTTGACATCCATTTGCATAATAAATGTTTCTCCATCCCCTCACTTTCAATCTGCAGGTGTCTTTAGGTCTAAAAAGAGTCCCTTGTAGGCAGCATATGGATGGGTCTTATTTTTTATCCATTCATCCCCCTATGTCTTTTGATTGGAGCATTTACTCCATTTACATTTAAAGTAATTATTGATAGATATGTACTAATTGTCATTTTATTATTTGTTTTGTGGTTGTTTCTGAAATTTTTCTCTTATCCTTTTCTTTTCTTTCTTTTGTTGTTTCTTTCTTACTTTCATTCTTTCTTTTATGTTTTGCTGATTTTCTTTAGTCATATATTTGGATTTCTTTCCTTTTATTCTTTGCATATTTATTAGTGGTTTTTGATACATGGTTACCAATAGGTTGGTATATAACCTCTTCTGCATATAGCAGTCTATATCGAGTTGATGGTCATTTAAGATTGAACCCATTTTTTACTCCTCTCCTCCCCACATTTTAGGTATATGTTATTATATTTTACATCCCTTTATTTTGTGAGTTCCTTGACTGATTTTTATGGGAATATTAATTTTTCCTGCTTTTGTGTTTCCATTATACTTTCACTTTTGGTCTGTGTTTTCCACTTAAACAGTCTCCTTTAATATTTCTTGCAGTCTCCTTTAATACTTCTGGTTAAGTGGTCATGAACTCCTTTAGTTTTTGTTTGTCTGGGAAATTCTTTATCTTTCCTTCTATTCTGAATGATAGCTTTGCTGGATAGAGTATTCTTGGCTGCAGAATTTTGTCATTCAGCACTTTGAATATATCATGCCACCGTCTTCTGGCTTGCAAAGTTTCTGCTGAAAAAATCCGCTGATAGCCCTATGGGGTTTCCCTTGTATCTAACTGCCTTCTTTTCTCTTGCTGATTTAAACTTTTTTATCACTACATTTTCCTATTTTATTTATGATATGTCTTGGTGTGGGTCTGCTTTTGTTGATTTTGTTGGGGGTTCTCTGTGCCTCCTGGATCTAGGTATCTGTGTCCTTCCCCAGGTAAGGGAAGCTTTCAACTATTATTTCTTCAAATAAATTTTCTGCCCCTTTTTCTCTCTTCTTCTTCTTCTGGGGTCCCTATTATATGAATGCTATTGTGTTCGATGGAGTCACCAATTTCCCTAAGTATATTCTTGTTTTGCATAATTCTGTATTCTCTCTTTTATTCAGCTTGATCACTTTCCATTGCTCTGAATTCTAGGTCATTAATTTATTCCTCTGCTTCTCCCAGCCTTCTTTCATTCCATCAAGCATGTTTCTCATTTCTTTTATTGAACCTTTTATCTCTGCTATGTTATTGCTTATCTGTGTCAAGGGTCTCATTCATGTCTTACACTCCTTTCTCAAGGCCAGTGAGTATCTTTATGTTTATTACTTTAAATTTTCTATCAGGCATGTTACTGATATCTGTTTCACTTAGATCTCTGGCAGTGACCTTGTCATGTTCTTTCATTTGGGACAAATTCCTCTGTCTTTTCATTTTGTCTAAGTCTCTGTGACTATGTTAGGAAATTCACCTACTTCTCCTGTTCTTGAGGGTAATGGCCTTATGAAGAAGAGGTCCTGTAGTGCTTACAGTGTAGTATCCCATTTCCCAGAGCCTAGGACTTCAACGAGTAGCTCCAGTGTGTGCTGCATGTGCTCTGCTGTTGTGCCCTGGCCACTTTATCCATTAGGCCAGTCATCTGCAGAGGTTCTCTTTGTCTGTTGTGGGCAGTGTTGGGTCTCTGGCCTGAATGTGGCTCATTTTTACTAGGTGTGCTCTGGTCTGCTTGTGCAATGAGACCTGTCATCACTGCCTCCAGAACCAAGGCCCTGAAAACTCCTGCATCAGGAGATGTGGTGTGAGCTGGGGTTTTGTCCCATCCTGTTGGGGAGGCAGCTGGTCATGCTGGCATTTAGGCAGGCGTGATTGGGAAGGGCGGTTGCCCTGGAGCACGGGTCAGGGTGCGGTGTAGCAAGTCAGGTAATGAGAGGTCAGTGCTGGGCTTGCTACCACAGGTGGCTCTGTGTTTACGCTGAGGGTCAGTGCAGGGAAATGGCGCCTTCCAGTTCCTTCATTGCTGGAGGGGTCTCTGTGAATGGTGCTTCTCTGGGACATGCTCCAAGATGAGCAGATAACCTCCCCACTGTGTGCCTCAGACAATTTCCTGCTCACTGTTTCCATGCTGCATGTCTGCCGATCATTTGCCTGCCTCTTCTACAAGAGTAGCACCAATATCCTCCAGGTTCTCCTGGAGCCAAGCCCACTGACCTTTAGAACTCTAGGCTTTAAGCCCCACTGATTGCAAGAACTCATGAAATCCAGGCCCTCTTGCCTTCCTAGTCAATTTGTATGGGGATTTGTTTTCTTCAGGCACTCCCCTGTGTGTTGGTATGTCTCTCACCCTTCTCTGCAGCAGTGGCTCCCTCCCCACCACAGCAGCCATGACCTGTTTCTCTCAAACTGAGTCTCCACACTTCCTACCTTCTTCAGTGAGGCCTCTTCTCTGTTGTGGAGTTTGTTCTACTAGTCTTCAGGTTGATTTCTAGGGTATTTTGGATGATTTGATAGTTATCTAGTTGTACTTGAGGGACAAGACAAGTCTAGGATCCTCCTACTCTGCTGCCATCTTCCAGCCTCATAAATTCTTTTCAGACTTATTTTAAACATCATTCCTAGTGAGTAATTTTTATACAATGAGTTTAGCCATTGATAAAGGGTAAGAAAAAAAAAGGTAAGATCAGGCCCTATCCAGATTATCCCCACATTCCCTAAAGCCGAAGACAAGATTAAAGGTTTCCAAATTTCTTAACTTGGTTAGTAAAGGAAAATTTTGTCATTTTATTTAAGTGGAGATAAAAACCTTTCTATCTTTTTTAGAAGACTAACGGTAGTACTTGTTTAAACTTCTTGAAGTTATTTCAAAACTGTCTTTCATCCTGCTGAGGTCAAGTCACCTTCTCACATGGGATTATCTTCTATTTCAGGTATAAGCTTGATGGTTTAAAAAAAAAAAGTCTCAAGAGAAAGTGAAGCCAACAGGCTTTTTTTGCTATTCTAAGCTTAGTGTCATGGAAAATTCCAGTGTCACTAATATGACAGTAGATACATTTTTGGGAAATGAAGTCTATTGCTTTTTCTTAGCTGAAAACTTATATCCTTAGCTAAATAATCATTATATTCTTGTTCTTAAGGTATGAAATAATGAATTTCAAGGAAATGGGAAAAGATTATTTTGATTATATCAATGTTGGAAGCTGGGACAATGGAGAATTAAAAATGGATGATGATGAAGTATGGTCCAAGAAAAACAACATCATCAGATCTGTGTGCAGTGAACCATGTGAGAAAGGCCAGATAAAGGTAAAATGGAGTCCATGTTTTTTTAAATTTTTGTCATATTAAAGTGTTCACTATCATTGACTATTTCTTTTTTTAAAAAAGAGATTGATTTATTTATTTGAGAGAGAGAGAATGCATGTGTGTGCACATGCAGTGGAGGCAGGTTGGAGGAACAGAGGGAGAGGGAGAGGAAGAGGGAAAGAATCCCAAGCAGACTCTGCACTGAGCATTCAGCCTGACACAGGGTTCAGTCTCACAACCCTGAGATCATGACCTGAGCAGAAACCAAGAGTTGGACACTCAACCAACTGGGCCACCCAGGTGCCTCATCATTGGCTATTTCTAAAACATTTAGATATTTGTCTTTTTACATTATAAGCTTCTAATGTCAGAAATTGTGTTTTGTGGTTTGTTTGTTGTTTTTTTTTTTTTTACTTTTCTCTCATTAATTCCTTTTGCTAGCATGACCCACAATAATCTTAGTGGTTGGACTGATTGAACCAGCTGATGAGTCTTGCTTGCCCACACCCTTTATACTCTTGTAAACCTTTTAAAGACCTGCTTCTTGGGGATAAATAGTTCACAGTTGGAAACCACATTAATTTCTAATTAACAAATATTTATCAAGCTCCTACTAATGTAATAGTTTATATCAATGGGGCAAAAATAAGTAACACACATTTATTGCCAGAAGATATATAGTCTAGCTGAGGAAAAATATCATGGGCACAAATAAGCAACATCATATAAAATGCGATGACTTCATTAAGAAAGAAAAAAAAACCAGATGTATATAAGTTCATATAAAATAAAGGGAGAGATTTCTTCTGAGTAAAATATCAGACACTGAACCATGAAGAATGGATATAATTTCAGAGAGAGATGTGGGAAAATGATCACTTATGTAGAAGGAACAGTAATAGGCAAGATACAGAAGTAGTTGATTGAAGACTGTTCTGGAATAACAGTGAATAATCTAGGGTTCATTGCTTTAAATAGTTATTATAAAAGAGAAAGTCAAAATGATAGATTGAAGCCATATTTGTGGGGAGTTTTGAATGTCATACTAAGCAGGTTGAACTTAATTTTTATTAACCAGGAGTCAAAGTAATCTTGACAAAGGTGTTGACATAAGGTGGACTATAGTAGGTGAGATGCACGAGTAGTTGTGAAACATGAGTAGAGAAAGAAGAGACAAGTAAGAAGGACACTGTGATAATGATGACAAGAACCCTGGATTATAGAAGAAACAGTGAGAATGGAGAGCGAGCAGGGAGATATTTAAGAGAAATATCATATAGAGAGGTATACGCAGTGAGCCCTGGCTACCAACTGGATGTAGGGTTGGAGAAGAAAAAGAAGTCTATGACAATCAATTGCAATTTCAATTCTTAGTAAGTAGAAAGTGTCATAGTCAAGCATAGAAAAATGGGAATGGCTTTAGAGAAAGGCAATGGGTTAGTTTGGCGGGCTGTTGGTTTTGAGATATCTAGGCAGTGATAGAAAACACTGGTCTACAACAATGAGTGATAAGGCTGAAGATACAGATTTAGAAGTTAATTGAATAGAGCTGAAATTGGAGCTGTTTGAGCAGATCAGTCACTGAACCTGAAAGTATACAGAGAAAATAAATGTAGACCAAAAATAGATATTGAAGATCTGCATTGAAAGCATAAAGGAAGAAGAAAAGGTAGAGTGAGGGACAACAGGTTTAGAGGGGGATAGAACCAGAGAGCACAGGGTCATGTAAGGTGGTGTTCAGTGGAAGAGAGAGGTCAAGGAAGACAAGGACTGAGGGAAAGACAGGAAAATTGGGGTTAGCCCTTCATCTGGGGCCTTCTGGAAATAGAACCTAGAGATTAAAAAGGATAGAAGGATAACTGAGCAGCAAGAAGTGTGTGGTGAAAAGCAGGTAAGGGGCAGTCCTGGTACTTTGAGGACATTGAAAAGTTACTTTTAGGCTAAGTAAGTTCTGGCCACACTTAGAGGAAATAAAAAGTCATGAAAGAAAGAATGAGGATATAATAAAAATAGAAAGAAGTTTAGTTATTGGGGTATAATGCCTTAGGGGAAGAAAAATGATATCAAAATAATTTATTCATCAAATAGTTATTGAAATACTACAGTACCACATTTCAAGCACTGTATACACCTGGAGCAGTTTACCTTGGTCTTTTCAATCAACCTCGTATTTACTCTGTTTGGAACATTTGAGGTATTCATTCATTGGTGATTACAAATGAAACTGAAATAATTCAGTATTAATTGTAAAATCTTCAAGGGGTAATTCTGAAGATTTGGTAAGCATAAGACCAGAAAGAAGAAAGACAAGGTAAATAAAGATAAATATAAATTTATTAATATCTGCTAAATGGCACAGTAGCTTGTGGAGTAGCTAAAAATTTCTGTATGTTTTGTTATGGTACACAACAAGTGTTAGTAAACCACAGCCCATGTGCCAAATCCAGTCTGCTGCCTGGTTTTGTAAATAAAGTTTTATTGAGGGGGGCCTGGGTGGCTCAGTCAGTTAAGTGTCTGACTCTTGATTTCAGCTTAGATCTGATCTCAGGGTCCTGGGATCGAGCCCACATCAGGCTCCATGCTCAGTGGGTAGTCTGCTTGAGATTCTCTCTCTCTCTCTCCCTTCGTCCCGCCCCTCACTCGTGTGTGCGCACGTGCACTCTCTCTCTCAAATAAATAAATAAATCTTTAAAAAAATAAAGTTTTATTGAAGTACACCATGCTAATTTGTTTCTGTATTGTCTATGCCTGCTTTCATGCTATAATAAATAGAGTTGAAGAGTTGAGTTGCAGGAGAGACAGTCTGGCCCACAAAGCCAAAAATACTTATTATCTGGTCCTTTGCAGAAAAAGTTTGCTAACCCTTAATATTCAGTGACAGTCTGCATCTTGCCCAGTCATCTTGCAATTAGACTCTGTGTGAAATTCTTTTTAGACTCACTCAGAATACTGATTGTTCATAATTTCCATTTCCTCCTGTAGAAAGATAAGCCTTTGTAAACTACCACATGGACGTTATTTGTTTTGACATTTCACAGCAAGACAATTTGAACCTATAACTTCAAAATGCTGAATGGCTGATTTGGGGGATTTTTTTATATATCCTTTTCTACCCCATTCTACTGGGAGTAACTTCCACGATGGAAGAATTTGACTCCCTAGTATCATATTTTTAATACTAGTTAATCTGTAATGTTTATTTAGTCTTTTTTCATCCCAAATTTTATTTTCCTAACCATATATCATTTTCACTCCATTAAATATGCAAATGACAATATTTTCTTAATATGGTTTAAAGATGTCACTGAGCAATTTCATTAAAGATGTCAACACCTCATGCCATTTTTCCGATTTATTAACTTAGTGTCCATGGAAATACACTTGGTCTGGCAAAGGTTCAAATGTGTTACATATTGTTATTCATAAAGAAAGCATGACTACTTCCAGGGCCTTCAAAAAGAATGGGAATCACTATGTAACAGAATTATCACTACCTCTTATACTCAAAATGAATATGAAACAGAACATATATATATCTCAAATTAAAAAAGTACAAAACAAATCAATTCTAAATGATCAGAAGCAGACATATCGAGCTGTCACCAGATTTTTTAAAAAGACTATAATACTGGAATTATTCTTGGAAAAGGAAATGATCTTATTTTGGTAAAAAAAGAAAAAAAAAACCCTGAAATTTATACACCAGTGCAAACTAAAGCATGGGAGTGAACATATTTTTAGAAGGAAAAATGCAACTGCTTTTGTTTACCATGCACTGCTAAGAAAGAGAATCCTTCAGTATTTCTTTTTTTTTTTTTTTTAAGATTTTATCTATTCATTTGGCAGAGAAATACAGAGAGAAAACAAGTAGGCAGAGAGGCAGGCTGAGGGAGAGGGAGAAGCAGGCTCCCCCCCAAGCAGGGAGCCCGATGCAGGTCTCGATCCCAGGACCCTGGGACCATGACCTGAGCCGAAGGCAGCCGCTTAACCAACTGAGCCACCCAGGCGCCCCTCCTTCAGTATTTCAAATGCTTGCTTGCACTACAAAATCTAGTAATTCTCCAACAATAGTTTTACCAAGTGTGGTTGAAATTACCTTAAGATCAAATTTATTTCTCTATATAAATATTTATATGCATATTACTAATAAAACACAACATTTTTAGAGTGTCCTACAGTTTACAAGTCAGTGTAAAATCCAGAAAAAAATCCTCAGGAAAGCCAATAAATCTAGATATTATTTAAAAAGCATTGGTCTTGGGATCGGCTGCGGGACTGTTCAAAGCTGCACAACAATTTATTTAGTGGCTACAAGAAAGACTAGAACCCTGGTGCCTCTGATTCTCAAGGCCAGAACTCTTTCTACTACATCTTTCAAAATATCATGAACACTATCTTTATTGTTTTTAAGTTTTATTTTAATTCCAGTTAGTTATACATAGAGTGTTATATTAGTTTCAGGTATGCAATAGAGTGATCCAGCACTTCCATATGTCACCCGGTGCTCATCACGACAAGTGCCCTCCTTCATCCCCATCACCTATTTCACCCATCCCCTCACCTGCCCCTGAACTCTACCTTTATATAGACTAATAAGGCTCCGCATTTATGAGCATTAGCCTTGAAGTCCAAAGGTTATTGTTTGAGCCTTCATTTATCCGTACGTGTTATATACGCTCACTACACCTCAGTTCTCTCCCCTTTAAAAAAAAAAAAGAACCAAAAAAAACCAGCCACCTTCAACAGAGCCACTTTCATGTTTTAATGAGACAACAGCATACGGCCCGGCAAGCAGAAAACAGCCAATAAGTAGTATTATTATGAAGAATACTTTAGGTAGATTAAACAGGTCTAATTAGCAACTCTGCCTCACTTATCTGGTTATTTTAAGGAAAGGACGATTCAGACCCTCAGACCCTTTTGTCATCATTTTCTCCTTGTGTGGTTGCAGTGTCAAGAGCCAGCAAAAGGGATAGAAAATACAAAGAAAGACGTGCCAGATTACATTTGTATATGGCTATCAATATCTAGACATTGTTACTATAGAAGGTCAGTTAGAGAGTGAGCATGGAGGACAAGGAGTATATGGTGTAATCATCACTGTGTCTTTTGTAATCGCTGGTGATTAATCACAGTGTTAATTATTTATAGAAATGCTTAATGAATGCTGTCTCTGTTCCACAGAGGCTATTCGTGCACCAGTGGTGGAAAAAAATAAAAGACATCCATTTCTAAAGAATAACATCTGGGACTCCTTCAAGTGTTAAATTATTTCAATTATTTTCCATTGCCTTAAAAAAAATCTAACAGATGAAGGGGTATATAACAGTCTCAGTGACCTTATCCACCGTCATCCCAAGCAAATCAAAGCTACTAGAATAGGAGAGAATGAGCTGTGAGTTATTGAACCAGATTTTGAGTAGAAACAGAGACCAAGAGATGAACTCCAGAGGAAAAAAAAATCATGTTCTACCTCTTAACTCAGTAGAAATTCCTAGTGATTTTTTTATCAATATGGGTAGTTTTGAACTGTAGCAGGTATATGATGTTTTTTGCTAAAAATTATTCAGCTAGTGGAGGGAAGCAAAGGTAAATTCAAAGAGTAAAAGTTCTAATTTTAGAGAAAGACAGACACAGACTCTGGGGAAAATTCAGTTACATACATACATATGTAAATGAATGTATTTATATATGAGCACAAACCCAGGCACTCAATTAAATATAGATATCTAAAGCTAAGTATCCAAAGACTTGCATTTAATTTAATTCCAGACCCTGGGCGCCTGGGCGGCTCAGTTGGTTAAGCGACTGCCTTCGGCTCAGGTCATCACCCTGGAGTCCCAAGATCGAGTCCCACATCCAGCTCCCTGCTCAGCGGGGAGTCTGCTTCTCCCTCTGACCCTCTTCCCTCTCATGCTCTCTATTTCTCATTCTCTCTCTCTCAAATAAATAAATAAAATCTTTAAAAAATTAAAATAAGAAATAATTCCAGACCCTGTGAGAGGGACCAACGAATTTTATGATGTAGACTGATCACTGAAACTCAGCTTCAGTTTCTGTGATTATAAAATGAGAATATTAAGACATATACTGCCTATCTGATAACACTTGAAATAATTTATGTGAAAGCAATTTCTGTTTTTCAAAAGAGCATATTTGAATCATAGATTGCTGGATTTTCATCTATACAAAAAATAATGAAAATTTTAAATATTTACCTTAGGTGATCCGGAAGGGAGAAGTCAGCTGTTGTTGGACCTGTACACCCTGTAAAGAGAATGAGTATGTCTTTGATGAGTACACCTGCAAGGCGTGTCAGCTGGGGTCGTGGCCCACTGATGACCTGACAGGTATATGTATCACAATGTCAGCTGGGGTACATGCCTCAAAAATCAACTGCAAGAGGACACAGACATGGGTGGAGGGGGTCACTTCTCCAAGTATTTCTCATCTTGGTGGTCCTGTTCATGTGACAAACAATTCCCTTAGGGACAGAAGACTTCCCAATGCCTGGGGTGATCACGAAAATCTTTACATCACAGGGAGAGATTGGTCAATATTCCCACCCTCACCCCCAAAGCAGATCAGAATTCCCAGGTTTTCTACTGGATTTTTCAGCCCATCCTCAGGATATTCCCAGAAGGTCCTAAGCAGGGCCCCAGTTAACCATCATTTGAGGTGGAGAGGGAGAGCTGTTTGCCAGGAAAAGGCTAAAATATGTCATGACATATCCAAGAGCAAAAAAAGTAGCACGGAGTTGGGTGGAAGTTGGTCTAAAACTTTGCTACTCTTAGTACTTTTCCTTAGTCTAAACCACGAAGCTCTAACTAATGAGTTTTCGAATAATGTCAGCACAGGGTAAAACTCATCTCTGCTTGGGTTTTTGTTTTTGCTGTTGTTGTTTGTTTTGTTTGTTTGGCTTTTGTGTTGTTTTGGTTTGGGTTCTTTTTTTCTCCCAAACATGTAAAGGAATATGTCATTGTGTTCTCAAGATTATATTTCATAGCTGTTTCTAATTTTTACAGTATAAAAACAGAATATAATACCTTTCATCTTTTCTTCAATTTATTCAGTAAACATTTATTAAATGCATATATTACATGTCTATTTTCCTACCACTGAAATAAAGATATAGAAATAAATATGCAACATCTATCTTAAAGAAGTTAATAAGGGGGTGTCTGGATGGCTCAGTCAGTTAGCGGCTGACTCTTGATTTTGGCTGAGGTTGTAATCTCAGGGTCCTTGGACCAAGCCCCATGTCATGTTCCACACTCAGTGGGGAGTTCTCTCTCTCCCTCTTCCTCTGCCCCTCCCCACTAAAATAAGTAAATAAATATTTTTAAGAAATTGAAGGGGGGGAAATCAGAGGAGGAGACGAACCATGAAAGACTATGGACTCTGAGAAACCAACTGAGGGTTCTAGAGGGGAGGGGGGTGGGGGAATGGGTTAGCCTGGTGATGGATATTAAAGAGGGCACGTATTGAATGGAGCACCGAGTGTTATACGCAAACAATGAATCATGGAACACTACATCAAAAACTAATGATGTAATGTATGGTGATTAACATAACATAATAAAAAAATAAATCAAATTAAATTTAAAAAAGGAAGTTAATAAAAGGAGTGTCTGGGTGGCTCAGTCAGTTAAGCAGCTGACTCTTGATTTTGGCTCAGGTTGTGATCTCAGGGTCCTTGGACTAGGGCCTACATCAGGTTCCATGCTCAGTGGGGAATCTGATTAAGGATTCTCTCTCTCCTTCTTCTTCTGCCCCTCCCCCTAAAATAAATAAATAAATCTTAATAAAAAAGAAGTTAATAATGGAGGCAAAAAAGTAAAAATATTAGTACAATATAATAAAAGGCAGATTTGTGGACATGGAGTATGAGGAAAGGACCTAGACAACTTGGTTTTCAAGGAAAATAAGAGAAAAAACAGTCCAGGCAGAGGGCCCACCATGTGGGATGTCAGGTCATCTAGTGGTTTTACAATTACCATAGATTTAGTATAAAACTCCTAGAGGCTAGAAGATTATAAAAATCAGTGTTAGACGCCATCCCTCATAGGATGAGACATTACCCAAGGTAGTTGTGTTAGCAATTTCAAATGCCTGGTTCTATAAATCCTGTGATCCTGGACCTTTTGAGACCAGCTCACATTAAGACTTTGTTTCAGTGATTGGTATTTATATGGAAGACTTCCTTTAAAAAAAATTAATAAAACATCCAAGTGCCTTCTAATAGTATTTGAGTCCTGTTTTTACCATCAGACCATAAGCTTTCTGACACTCATACATCCTGGTATCCCCAGAGCCAGCTCAGTGCTGAACATAAAGCCTTCAATAAACTTAGTTGAATGGATGAGCTACAGCACGTGCACACCAACCCACAAACACACACACAAATTGTGTTTAATATGAAATAAAAGAACAAGAATAAAGAATTGAAAATATTAGGGAAGACAATTTAAATTTATAGTTTAGTATAAATTTAATATAAATTTAGTATAGTTTGTAGTTATAAAAGTTCTCTTTGAAGATGTGAAAATTAGTTGAGGCCTAAATGATAAACAGAAATAGCTAGCTAAGAGCAGTGAGAAGGGCATTTCTGGTTGAGGGAAAAGCACATATAAGGTCTGTATATGGGTAAGCAAATGGGAAAATCAGAAAGGTAGCAGGAACTAGATCATATATAACCTTATAGAACATGGTCACGATTTGAGTGTTTGGTATGAAGTATAATGAGAAACCATGGCCGGGAGTGTAGTAGAAAACCCAACATGATTGGATGTATATTTTCAAAAATATATTCTGGTAGCTGTACAGGAGAATAATTTGGAGAGGGATGGAATGTGGAGAAGGGACGCAGGTTGGGTGGTTACTGCAGGTTGCTACTGCAGGCAGGAGTTCTTGGCGTCCTGGACTAAATAGTGTATTGGAAGATTTGAGATACACTTTTGAAGTAGAATCAATAGGGCATTTGGCTGCAGTAGATATTATGTAAGGGTACCAAATTTTCTGCCTTGAAGACTGAAGAAATAAATGTATTATTTGATAAAGATCAATAGTTTGGTTTTAGACAAGATCAGTTGTCTTTGTGATTTTCAAGTATGGATTAATTAATTCACCAAATGAAGTATGAATTAGTTTAACAAGCTCCTTAGTTTGAGCCAGAAAATGTAATAGGAACTGGAAATACAAAATATAGTCAAAGTTTTCAAGAAACTTATAATCTAGTGGGATAAAATCATGTAAACAGTAATGACACAGTGTACTAAGCACTGCGGGTAGTTAAGGAAAGAACAAAGTATTATGGAAGAATGAAAGAGGGCATCCTTAACATGGAGAATTCGAGAAAGTTTAATCTTAAGACATAATCTTCAGCTCACTTTTAAAAAAGTGAAGAAGTTCATATTAGAAAGAGTGTGCAACATCAAGTCTTTGAATGACACCACATTTCTCCTCAATGCCCCAACCAAAATGAAGTGAGCCATCTTAGATGCTTCTCTATGCCTGGCCACCCATATCCAGTCACTTGTCAAGCCTGGCTCTTTGAATTGCTAAATATTCTTATTCCTTTCACTCCTCTCTATTTGTACAAGTCTTCCCTTGACTAGGTTCTCATCATCTCACATTTGAACATTGTGGTAATTTCCCAGTGTATTTCCCTATTCCCAAATGTATGCCACATACCTCTAAGTCTACTTTTCATCTTGCTGCTGGACATGTATCCAAAATACAATTTTGTCCCTTTTGTTTCAATGTTCAACACTTGCCAGGGTTTTCATATCTCTACTGGATATAGTCCAAGTTCTTCAACATGGCATACAAAATTCCCTCTCATCCCCGCCCTCCTAGAATTAAATCTTTCTAGTTTCAGTCACTACCACTTGACAACTCTCATTTTACCTTCTAGCATCAAGGGGTGTTTATAATACATTATCTACACACAATGCCATTTTATTCCTCCATGTCCATACCTCTGTTATCTTCTCTGCTTGGAAGGCACTTACTCCTCTTTACTTGAGTAACTCTGACTCATCCTTTCTTACTCCATTCAAATGTGACCTTCTCTATGAAATCTTTGTTGAGGTACTCAGACTGAGAAGCCCCTTATTCTGTATTTCTAAAGCAAATTCTGCTTCCCTCTTTACATCAGTTTTCAAATTGGATTTTAATGGCCTTTATCTTCCTCTCCTACTGAATCAATAGTTTCTCAAGGATGTAACTCTATCTCAATCATATTTGCATTCCCAGCATCTGACATGATGCCTGGCACAGAGCAGGCACTCATTCTCTGTATGTCAACTAGCAGGAAAATTATGAGGAGTGTAAGAAATGAAGATGAAAGTATGTATTAGGGCCATCCTGTGAAGACAGCCTTTAACTAAAGAGTTTGGACTTTATCCTGTAGACAGTGTAGGGCCAGTGGAGGTTTACAAGCAGAAGAATGAAATGCTTTTCCTCTGGCTACATGCAAACATGTGAGTGGGCATGTATGTGGGAGTAGGGGAGGAGAAGTGGCGACAATAAATGTCAGACTTAGAAAGGTCTCCCCATTGATATTATGTGAAGTTTAACCTTTAAATGAGATCTACGGCATTTTTCCAAGGAGCCTATAGCTGTTTGCAACCCTATCTCACTGACTCTGACTCAAACTAACAGATCACTTGGGGCTGCTCTCTAGCCAGAAGATTGTTCTGATGGCTTCAGCTCTTCCAAAGCCACCACAGAGATGCCTGGGGCTAGCTTCAGGGAATATATTTTTTTAAGTCTTCCTTTCACCCACTTGGCTTATAGTTACCCTACTGCAGCCCTATAACATGACAGCTCAGGTCACCTCCTCTGGGTCAGTGCCCTCACTGAGATAATAGATAACAACTACCACATACATTATGCTTTCTACATGTCAGGAACTGTTTGAAACATCTTACAAATGTTAATTTATTTAATCCCAACACAATTCTGTAAGAATGGTAGCATGATCAAGAGATCTGGGCCTACTATCAGGTGAATAATTGTTTAGAAAAACAACTAGAGGTGGCAATCAACTGACATTAATGTCTACCTATATATTTATCCATATATTTGTATATTTGTATATATTCATATGATAGATGACTGAAATGAAGATGACTCACTGGTAGGAAAAGATGTTTGTGAGTGCTGGGATTGTGGGTGACTTTTTCACACACATATATACATATGTGTGTGTAAACATATATGCATATAATATTGGATTATGTTATGAGAACATATTTCCATCAATAAGGCTATTAAAATAAATTTTAACCTAGCCATATTCTTAATAGCTATCATAAATTGGCAGGAACCAGGAATTAAGAAAAGA